GGATATGGTTTTGTTAATTAGCATTTCTATCATGAAAGAACCAGGATAAAGGTTCTGTTAGTATTTTTCATAAAATTAAAGGAGACTGAAGATAATTTCCATAGTGGTAGTTTAAGTTAGTAAATTCTACTAATTCAAACCATGTCTTCCATTCATTCACCAAATACATCAAATTTAAAAATTATGACAAGGTGTTAATTTTTAGGAAAGCATTGCCTAATTATCTAAATTGCAAAGGAAGGAAGTATGCATTAAGTATAAGACCAGTGACACCTCCAAATAAAAAAGTGAACAATTTAATTCAACATAAACTTTTTTAAATATTAAGGAAAAGTGTATGAACCCTATGTTTTTTTTTTTAAAGAAAACCTCCTTTAAAAACAAATACCTCTTTTAATTACTAAATGAGTACTAATAGATTTAGTAACATTAAGAGTTACCTTTATATATAATACAATGAAACTTAATGTATTACAAATGTATATTCACACATCTCACTAGTAGTAAGTTTAATGCTTCTTTATTAATTTTACTCCCTAGTCTTCTCCACTTAAATATTCCTACATTTCCTCAAGGAGATCTGCAAGAGAAAAACCAGTAGAAACTGGAAGTGACTGGTCATCCTGCCCGTCAGGCGGCCATTCCTTGCGCCACTTCTCTGGAATGCTGTGCTATACCAGGGCCTGCAGGGCAGTGGTGGACATCACGTGTCCTGTCATCATCAATATTGACTAGTTTTTACATAATCACACCATCACCGAAGGAGGGCAGGAACAAAGGAAAAAGATGACCTGGATAGCACAGCTTCTATATAAGCACATAAGCATGGCTTATTGGCTAATTTTTAGTATAGTTAAAAAAAAAGACTGGTAGGAAAGTGAAATTGTGGTCAAATTCAAGTAATGATTTTAAACTGTGTTCCATGGATTTCCCACTCCTGTCCTTACTGGAACAATTGTTTCTATGTACTTTATATTTACAAACTTAGTCTATTAAGATTTCAGTTACAGGTTAAGAAAGATTCAACCACCCCAAAAGTAAGGAAAATAGTGCTTTCAATGTTTTATCTTTCTTCCCCCGTGTTCTTCTCTCCTATAATCTAGAAAATGATCACTACTAATAATGGAGAATTAAGCATATTATAACATTGAATAACTTTGTCACTGAGTATCTAAATCAGTAAGTTCAAGTTTGCTGTGGTTGTCTTTGAAGTCTTTTTTATCTTGTATCCCTCAGAAGGGTTTATCCAGCCTACATTTATAAACGCTTTAGAATTTAAAAATCTTTGTTTTACAGTT